TATAGAGATATTACAAAATGTTGGTGTACTGATGATGATGCCTTATGTTAAATAAGGAAGAACTTGTTGACTATTCAATTATATCATTAGAAGTGAAAACGAATAAAAAATGCAATCAAGCAAGATGTCATAAAAAAAACAACAACAAAAGTTTGTATTACTTGCAATAGCTTACACTGCTACGGGTACTCGAAAGTATTATCAATACATCATATATGTTTAATGTATATACTTCAACTGTAATTTATGTTGGACATATGTTTAAAACATTGCATCTGTATTTATGTTTATAGATACATTTATTTAAGGAGCAAAATCATTTGCTTATAATGATTTATCCAAAAAAGCTTTTACTTCCTGTAATACTTGTGTAAAAGTAAGTTTCAAATATTTAAAATATTAAATGAATAATGTAATTAATTTGATATGTAGTTATTAATACTTATACATTTTTAAATTAATAAATAAAAGTGTATAATTATAATAATATGATAAACGTTTTTCTTTTGTATAAAATTATATTAAGATATTTAACTATCACTTAATTTAATATTTTAAATAATTTTGATTTTAAAAAATTTATCACAGATGTTATTCCTTAGTGTGAAAATGAAATTAATTAAATAATTGTATTATCAGTTATCTCAGTACCTCCATTGTTCATTAATGAGTGTACTGAATTTTTAGTATTATTTGATGTGTAATTAGTATTAAATTTAATTGTTTTCCAAATCGCCTCTATTATTATATATTTTATTTTGATAACAGATAATTTTAGATTTCTTTATCAAAATATTATGTAAATTTTGTATTTGTTGTATTTTGAATTTTGATTTTTTGAGCATACATTTTTTTCTGTGTCTGATAAGAACAATAATTCCTTTAATTGTCTATGGTTCTAATTTATGTTGTTACAGTTGAATTTTCTAGACAATTTTTTTAGTCGACTTATTTATACATAAATCAATTGAGTTTTTAGAATTCGTAACATCATTATAACCTAATATAACATTCTAATGTTTACTATTAATATTTAGATTTAATTTATCAAAATCAATAATAGGTAAAAGATTGATAACCATACAGGTGATACAGGTTGTGTGTTTTTTCTCCTTTGTTGTATAACTATTTGATTATAGTACTCTACATGAAAACTAGTCATAAACACACACCACCTTTTTGCTGAGCTTTATCCTCATATTTTTATTTGTATTTGGCATGTATATATATTTTTATATTATCGAATATCTAAACAAATGTTCTAATTTTCGATTTGTTTTTAAATGTTATGATATATTTTAGATATAATTATATTTTTTTAAATATTTATCTATTATAGACAGATCATCAATGCCATGCAATGTATCAGCCGATATTCTCAAAAGTTTTTGTCACTGGACTGCTCACTGAATGGATACCCAATAGATAACAGAAAATATGTGAATCAAAGTTTCAATGAGAAATTAGATTTTCATGTGATTAGAATAATTTTATAACTATGTAAATTTAAGATTATTTTATTTTATAATTAAATTGTCATACGATTTAGTTATTTATTACTTTTATTTTATTAATTCATTAGATATTTGTGTCATTAGAAATCCTCTTTTCTGATATACATGTTACAAGTTATCTGTAGATACTGATTTATGCAAGGGTATCATTTTATATTATTAATGATATTTTTACTCTTGAAACAATGTTGTCCATGTCACTTTCCCGGGAACATTTCAATGTCTACTACATGGGCCAGTTAATTTCCACACACATTATAACTTACAACTTATTGCAAAGCTCCTACTAAATTTTATTTCAATTTTCAATTTATTCATTTAATAATTAATATTATTGTAGAGGCACCCTTTAAATGGAATTAAATAATTAAAATATTTCGGAGATTCTATGTCACTTCCTTATTGACAATTATTAATGTTTTATTAGTCTTGTGAAATAACATCAATAAATTGGTAAAACAGATGGTTTTTAGTATTTTACATCTTTAAAAATTACATAAACCATCAAATATGGGGCACTGTATCAACTAATAGTTATTTC